TTTTAAACAAATTTCACAATTGGTTCCTTTTTGTTATTTCGATGTGTTGTATGTAAAAGATGCTAGCATAACCACTGAAACTATGTTTCCGTTATATTCTTTTTATTAATAGCCCGATCTCGATGAAATTCTGACAGCCAGTGAACTACTGAATGGACCACAGGAGTGATGACGTAGATTTTATTGACATCTATTAGTTCCACTTTCCAAAAAAACCTTGTTTAGTGTGGATAATTTGTATTTTTCGTTATTTTTTCATTTTTTTTATAGAATTTCTCCGCTTTTTGCAATATTTAAGTATTCTAATAGTTACTACAACAATTTTACAAGGCTGTGTAAATAATAAAGCACATTGTTTTATAATAGCAATAAAATGCTTGTATCAATAAAGTAAGGTTAGAATTTCTTTAATTTAAACTTTTAAACTATATTTCATAGAAATAGAACTCTGAATTATGATGGCATTATCGTAAAAAACACTATACCTACAAAAAAAGCAGCTGATGAAGCAAAATGTTAAATTAAAAAGTTTTGAGATTGTACATTTCAACTTTTGTTTGGAAAGTAATAATGACAAGGTGACAGTCGTGACGTCACACTCCTGTTGTCCATTTAGAATTTAGCATTGCATTACTTTCAATACTAAAAGTAAAGAAAATATGTTTTTTTTAAACTTTTTTTTATATTCGATCAAAGTGTTTGAGTGTTTGCTTATATAATTTTGGCAGAAACTATTTTTCTATTTGTAAAAAGTTAAAAGGTAGCCGCACCTATCACCTAAATAATAAGATTGACATCATATAATTCTCGTCCTGGCAATGGGCAACTCGCCATTAATCATTCAAAGTTTACTTTTATAAAAACTCAATAAACTTCTAGTCTAATAAATAAAACTTTTGTACTGTAACAACAAAGGAAAACTCTTTCATTCATCTTCACACTTCGACTTCCAAAAATCATAAGCCACTTAAACTAACCAATAAATTTAGAATGATACAGCCACCAAACTGAATTTACTCGGGGTAACCAGTGCACTTGCATATATCCTATTTAAAACAAACTGAGAGTTGAGTAGGCCTTTATATGATTTTATCAATGGAATGCTAAAGTATTTTATGGATATCTTATGGAAAACATTGTAAGTTATGTATGAAATTCATTATAGCAATAAGTACATTCTTTTTTTTCTGTCAAGACAAATCGTTTAAAACATTATTATGTTGTATTATATTTATACAAAAATGAACTTAAGTTTAATCTAAATCTGTTCAAAAATATTAAATAACAAATGCTAGTAAAGAGGTTTTAAACTGTTTTGTTGTGGCATGTTTAAATATTATATTTATAGAGAATTAAACTACAATTGACCGATAAAAATTATATTTTATAATTATTTGACGTTTCGACATCCACTCCGGAAATCGTTTTCAAAAAATATTTAAAAAATTAAAATTACCTACTTTAAGCAGGTTATTACACATGTTGTGTATTGGTTTGGCGCTTAACCAAAAAAATTTGACAGGTTGCTCACCCGGCCTCGATCTAACAAAGATATAGCCTTGTTTTGAGTTGTTTCACCTTGAAGTTGATATCAAATTCTAATTGGTTGTGTATATGTGTATTATCTATTGTGTGTTTACGTATTGTTTATTATACAGTGCGTAAATCGTTCAGGTGGAGATAGGTAATATACATTAAGGTAATTGTGGCAACTGCGCTTTCTTAAGCCCACTGCTGTTGTAAAGGCCACCTGTTATTACAATATATTTTTTTTTCGAATTCAATTGTTTTAATATAAATTAATTCTATCATTATGTCTCTGTTAGTGTCTTTGGCGTTCTGCGAATTTCGTAATTATCCGATCTTAACTTACTATTATGGGAATATAGGTACGTGACTTCATACGCTTAAAGCCTTTACACACATATCACTTAAATTCACACGTATCATTCAAAAATGATTCATGTTATCTAAAAACTGTTATCGACAACTAAATATGTGCTGTGACGACGAAGATAGTACTAACATGAAATTCATATTTGTCACTGTATTACATTTTTGTTGATTATTGAAAATTAAATGGATAGTCTGGATAATATCTTAATGGGAAATGCATAACCGGTAAATGATCAATAAATCGGCAAAAATGATATTTAATAGTTTATATAGTATATGATCGACTGTGACTAGACACTGAGAAGTGGGCAGGTTGAGGACCTCAGTGCCGTTTGACGGTTCTTGTATTTATACAGAACACGATACTGATACGTCACGAGAGAGGCGAATAGGAAGATTGAGACCCCGAACTCGAAAATGGCTCCAAAATGGGTGACTGAAACGTCGAGTAATTTTCATATATATATATATATATATATATATATATATATATATATATATATATATATATATATATATATGAGTGAGATTAATATCTCACTGTAAATGCCAACAGAAACCTACTTTTTATTCAAAATCAGATAGATCTCGAATGGCCAACACCACCTTTAGAGCTACCAGAGGTTCAGTTAGACTCTGTACATAATGATATCAAAACCGTCACTCAATAAATCCAATCTCTCACTGCCCAACTCAGGAATTCCCTTCCTACTCATATCATCCACAATTTCGACCTTAGACTTCACAATTTCAATTTATAAATCTCTTAAAACACTCCAAAAAAGATTGCTAACCATGGCATCACCCCTTTTTCTAAAATCATATATCAACAGAAATGGTTAAGAAACCTTACTGAAATTGATCTTCCTCCCAATGTTGCTAAATTATTTACATAAATAACATTTTACTTAATTTTACTAATGCTTCAAAAAAATCACAATCCGAAATTGATCGAGCCTATATAATGAAACTAGAACTTTTCTAAAAGACCATCCTGAACTATTGGTACTTTTAAGTGATAATGGTAATACCACTGTAGTTATGTATAAAGACCAATACATGGACCTCAGCCAATTACTTTTGAATGATGAAACAATATTATCGACCGTTACTTATAAATCCTACCGGTACGTTTACTTCCAGAATCAATAACCACATTTCCAAGTTAAAAAGATCCAATCTTATCACGGATGCATTCAATTGTGCATGCGTCCCATAGTATGGGAATACTATGGGACGCATGCACATGCGTCCCATATGGGTCCCATGGGAAACTTTCGTCGAACTCGTCAAGTTGGTGTTTGACACCAACTATCTGGTGTTTGGAACCCCTATGGGATCTTCTATTTCTCCCCTTTTAGTTGGTTTCGTATTGGATGACCTTATTTTAGATAGACTCAGTCTACAATAGTACAACAGTCTGCCTTCAATAAATACAATCCCCACTTGCAGTTCACATGCGAGATGGAGGTAAATAACACCGTTCAGTTCCTTGATATGTTAATTGTAATTGTAATTAGAAATTTCCTAATTTACCGCCTATATCCCAAGGAACAACAAGTAAAATAGAGAAGCAGTTTCGCGAGTTTGGTCATGTAAGGCAGATAAAAAAGCAGCTGCCAATGCACTGAGTGATGAACTCAAATTAGATGTTTTGCTTGAGTTTCAGGAAAATCCACATACATCGAGTAGACAGGCATCCACTACATTCAATGCTAACCATACATCGATAGTAAACATATTAAAAGAAAATAAATTGCATCCCTATAAGATGATACCTACTCAGAAGCTCATGGAAGACGATTTTGATAGAACTTTTTTTTGTTAGCAAATGATGGACATGTTGGATAACAATATTATCCAATTAAAAGACGTTATGTTTTCTGATGAGTGTACTTTTTCACTTAACGGTCATGCTAATCGGTAAAATTGCCGCTACTGGGCCACGGAAAATACTCACTGGATGAGAGAAGAACACACTCAATACCTTCAAAAGGTTAATGTTAATGTTAACAATTATTTGGCACTACTTCAAAATGATGTCATTCCAACGTTGGCAAATTTATATCCTGATCCAGAAAACCCTCAAGTTCCAGCGAATACGATATGGTTTCAGCAGGATGGAGCACCACTACATTACCAACTTAATGTCCGGCAGTACCTCGATACAATATTTGACAATCGGTGGATAGGGAGCCGAGGATCGATTGAATGGCCAGCGCGATCACCTGATCTTACATTATTAGATTTCTTTTTATGGGGATATGTGAAGAGCCATGTGTACAAAACTAAACCTTCTGATTTAAATGACTTAAAAGAACGAATAACGCTTGCGATTAGGTCGATCACGCTGGTTATGTTAAATAATGTTAGAAGACAGTTTTATTTGAGATTAGGATGTTGCCAAGACGTTCGCGGTGAACATTTTGAACATCTACTTCATTAACATTCATAGTTCTTTTTCGTGTTCTACATTTTGTTACGTTTTGCATTACATTTTAGTTTTTGATTGTATTGTAGCGAATTTCGGTATCCACATGATTTAAATTTATTTTATCTTAATTAATCTTAATAAACTTGAAAGCGACAACATTTTTGAATGGAGAATGAAAAGACCTTTCAAACGATATATCACAAGCCTATACTTCCTATTTTAAAAATTGGGGGTTGTACCTGGGGTACATAGGTAGGGGGATGAAGGTAAGGGTTGCATTTTCACGTTAAATAATGTCAAGTTATAATTTAAAGTTGACGTGTTTCGGGATTTTTTGTAAATGTGTACAGTAACCTAAATAATGAATTTATTCCATTTGGCTTTTACACACTGTATAATCATCGAGTGGATGATTATATATAATATAGATAATACATCTTATAATAAACAATTCATTTATAACGAATTTAAGTCAATATCTTTGTATATATTCAGCAATTACAAAAATTGCCACAAATTTAATTGTGACACTAAAGTCAAAGACAAATTGAAGTCTATAAATAGATAATTTAGTTACTAAACTCAGAGACGTGATTCATTTAAACCACCTTTAATCTGTAAGTTAAATTATTAAAACATCTTTTTTGCCACTCTCAAATTATAGATAAAGGTCAATTCCAATAGCTAAAATCATATAATTCCACCATTTCTAATCTCTCCTCAACAATAGATAGAAAACAATTAGGACGTAGAGCACTGAAGTAAAACTCTTCAACATTTATCACTCACATAAGAGAATAGACAACATCATATCTAAAAACTCAAATGTTACCAGAATTACTTGGGTAAAAGAGAAAACTTCCCGGTCCGTAATGTACGGGAGTTTTGGGACTCGAGCAAGTGTAAATGAAGTCGTCCGATTGAAGGTGAGTCCTGTTCATGTTCGGTTCCGAAGTGGATCTGCTGATTTTTGGATGATTGCTTAGTAATCCTTCGAGGGTGGCGTGAATTTGACGGAACAACGGCCGTTCTTCTCGTTTGAACTTGATGCAGTCTTCTGTCAACCGTCTGAGAGCCTTTGATGTGTCCGACCTAAGCAATAAGAAGAGAAGAATATAAAAATGTTGGCTTTAATACTAAAATATAATGTATATCTTAGACACAAAATAAGTAACAGAAAATTTGCATGAGTTTATTTTTTTCCTAATAAAAAGTTGGATTTTGGTAAGTTATGATAGTAATGATAAGCTGATGGATTGCCTTCACAAAAAGGGACTAGACGAGAACGATTTTAAAATTATCCAAACGCTGTATTTTAACCAAACTGCAGCAGTTAGAACAGAAGCCGGTGACACAGAAATATTCAATATCAAGCGAGGTGTACGACAGGGGTGTGTATTGTCACCACTACTTTTCAATATATATTCGGAAGAAATCTTTGCACGAGCACTAGAGCAATCAAGAGAAGGTGTTAAAATTAACGGCAGAGTTCTAAATAATGTACGATACGCCGACGACACGGTCCTAATTGCAGAGAGCGCACAGGATCTCCAGACACTCTTAGATCGCGTCAGATCGATCGGAGAACAATACGGCCTCAGCATTAACGTCAAGAAAACAAAAACAATGATTGTCTCCAAAACATCCATCCATCCACCCATGGCTTTAAACGTGAATGGTAACATTATCGAAAATGTCGAGAAATTTCGATATCTAGGGTGCTGGATAACGAAAGATATAGATCCAGACATAGAAATAAAATCGCGAATTGAACAAGCAAGAAATGTCTTTTTAAAAATGAAACAAATGTTTACGTCCCAAACACTCAATCTCAAAATCCGATACCGAATGCTGAAATGTTACGTTTACAGCACCTTACTATATGGAATGGAGGCCTGGACCTTTAAAATCAACTCACTAAGGCGTTTGGAAAGTTTTGAAATGTGGTTATTTCGAAGGATGCTGAAAGTCCCCTGGACAGCGCATATGAGCAACGAGCAGGTCCTACACAAGATGGGTACCGACAGAGAACTCTTAAAAATAATGAAAACACGGAAAACCTCATATTTGGGACACATATACAGAAATGAGAAATACCAGCTACTGCAGCTTCTTATAGAGGGGAAGGTAGAAGGAAGACGTGGTCCTGGTAGACGGCAGGCGTCCTGGTTGAAGAACATTCGTGAGTGGACTGGTTTGGATTCTCAATCTTTAATAAGAAAAGCCAGGGACAGAAATGATTTTGCTGAGGTTATCGCCAACCTTCATTGAAGACGGCACCCAAAGAAGAAGATGATAGTAATCTAATTTTATTTTTCAAATATATATACAGTGTAGGAAAAAGTTTATGGTCGGTATGGACCTTACGTGAGATGGAGTGAGAAACAGTTGTTTAGAAAGAGAGAGGTATATTAGGTCCGCCCTTTATATCGCCAAACATGCATGCCTGGAAAGGGGAAGTTCAACGTTGCCAAACTTACTGGATTTATTTGACCTGTTGTTTTTTTTTGCATTTGAATAATGTTCTAAGATAATCCAATTTGGGCGAAATTTATTTAAATGGCAGCTTACTGTTTTTTTATTGGAAATATGCCACAAGTTTACTTTACAATAAGTGTAATATAACATTTTGATTTCCACTTCGGAAATCGTTTTATACAAATAAAATTGATTAATGTTTCGTATTTTAAGTATGATTTCCGAATTAAAAATCTAAACATCAAAATAAGCTTATTTTAAAGTCACATTGTGCCTTATTCTCAATATGAAATAATAAACTGCATACAATAACGCCACATTAAAAAATATTCATACACAATAATTATTTGGCAACGTCGGTCGGTCTGGTTTGGCCGACCGAGTAACGAGTAGTAGAGGTGGGTCGTGGTAGTTTTATCGTTAAGAGCGTAGGCACAAAATTTCGTTCCAATATTTTTTAACTGCATTAATTTTTTGCAAATCCTGAGAAAACTAATAAATATTTTTGAAAAATTTAAACGCAGAATGAAACAATACATTATTACCGACGGCCGACAGTCCCTGAAAACTTCTATAATGATTATTTTAATAAGTTACAGGGGTGAAAAAAAAATAGTGTGATTTTTAATTTCAAATATCTTATTCAAAAACCTTTTTGTTTATTCTAAGGGACTTTCGGCCCTCGGTAATAATGTAATCTTTTATTCTGCATTTAAATTTTTCAAAAATATTTGTTAGCTTTCTCAGGATTCCAAAAAAATGTATGCATTTAAAAATTTAAATTTTTGTAAACAAGTAACTATGATTGTTTAAAAGTAGTTTTAAGTAAGAGAGTACCTACATAAACAAACATAATGGTTATTATCGTTTATGTGTATATTTATTGAAGTAAAAGAAACTAATGATTTATTTATTATTAATTGATCAAAAATACACCATGGATTTAAGTCATCTTTATTGGTTTCTTTTTCTTGTACTGGTTGATTTTCAATAGTACAATCTTCTTGTTCGTTAATTATAGAAGTAACCAGCTTCTTAACTTTTTCTTTAATTTTTTTATCTTCATTTTTATCAGAAAAACCCTGCACTTTAAATGGTGAATCCATAAATGTACATAATAACAATGTGCCACTCTGTTCTATCCCTTTAAATCTTTTTGCTAAACCCGATATTAGTAATTGTACTACGTCGGATACTATGGATGTAAGGTTTGCTAAACCTTATTGCTAAATTTACCGTTTGCTAAAATTTTATTGCAAGATTCTTGGAGGCAGCGTACCATAACAATCACTGAACTACCTTCAAGTATTTTTGGTCACTCATTGTACTTGTTATTTCTTTAAGCGGCCGTAAAATTTGGGAAAGCTGAGAACAAATAATCCAGTGTTATTTATTTAGATTTGGTCTAAGTCTAAGTCTGTATTATTTAATACCGGTGTGGAACGGATTGCCTCTTCTAACTCGGTCATTTTTTTTAACATGTAGTAGGTGAAGTTCTACCTAGTTTCCACGTCTTGGATTGGCCGTTTGGGAACTTTGTTATGTTGTAATTAATACTTTAAAAGCCTTTCTGAAGGTAAGGTACTTTTTTTAAATGTGTTTTTTGCAGAACTGTCGAAAATGGGACTTTTTATTTTATCTATTATCAAATCAGTTTTGACATAACATTCCTGAAGTAATGAACCTGACAGTTTTTCTTGTTGGCGGTTTATATCCAGGAATCCACCCTGCAAACTTTTTAAAAGCTGGTTCTTCACCTATGGAAAACGGATGAAACGAGTCTTTGCATAAGTTTAGTAAATCTTGAAAATCAACCAGTACAAGAAAAAGAAACTGATAAAGATGACTTAAGTCCATGGGGTATTTTTGAGGAATTAATTGGACGTGACTCATCTAAACATACACCTGTATCGAGAGATATAAAAGAAGTCGACATGTATTTGTCTGATATATTACCCACAAAAAATTTCGAACGGAGATTGGAACTGTCCATTACCGTGGTGGAAAAACCATCGTCATGTATATCCTAACTTAACCACTATATTCATAAAATATTGTAGTATTGTAACAAAATCTTTTCCTTGTGAACACATGTTTAAAATCTGGTTTAATTTTAAATAAAAGAAGAACACGGTTAACAAGAAAAGTGAAAAAACTTGTTTTTAAATGTCAATTTAGACGATTCGCGATTTAATAATGAGTAATGTAAATGTAAGTACTATTTGTATTGTTTAATTTATTTTTCAAGTTATAATAAATATATCCTTCGTTAGGTTCTGTCACTTCAATACTTATACACATAAACGATAATAGCCAATATGTTTGTGTACTCGCTAATTTGAATACTGGTAAACAATCAACTAGTTACAGTTTACGAAAAACTGTATAGACAGTTGTAGACAACAGTATAGACAGTATGTATAGACACCTAAGGAGGGGTTCTAGTATTTCTTGTAAAGAAAGATAACATCAATTTACACCTAATTACATATAAATTACACTGTTTTTTCTTTCCATTCTCTGTATGAGTTAATACACACCAGTAAAACATGCCATCAATCAAGTTTTACTATTTTTACAACAAATTTTAAAAATTTTATGATGTATTATGTCCATAATTGTATATTTTAATGTGTGGTATAAATGTTGAGTGTTCAATGCTTACAAAAATAATCTCAACGACTAGTAAGTTACACTGAAGAATTGTGATATTTTTTAAATATTTACATAATTGTCTTTTACAGTGTCTTGAAAAAGGAATAAAATCATTCCGAAAGCTCGACAAAAAGTCAAAAGAGTGTTTTTTTTTAACATCCCGGCCAATATTCTGACTGCAACCCTAATAAACTGTGTTGTTTGTTTATATCGACAGTCAATAATATCCAGTATTTCTTATATATATATATATATATATATATATATATATATATATATATATATATATATATATATATATGATTAATAATAAATGTCTTTATCAACAAACAAATTAATTTTTCTTTACAATAAAATATTTTATCAGTAGGGGCAGATTAAGTTTTGGATGGATCATAAAAATATGACATACTAAATTTATAAATTATAAATTATTAATTTTTTAAATTCTTAAATTTTTAAATTATTGTTCAGCTAACAACTGCTCATAAATTAATCTCTTGAACTTGGCACTAGACAAATTTCTAATATTGAAGGACAAACTTTTTATATTAAAAGCAATTGAATACGAAAATGAACGTCTAAAAAATATGTTGTAATGTTTAGGTAAAGTGAGGTTATTCTTGTGTCTAAGATTAAGATTATAAACGTCAGTCCTATAGGTTACTCGATTGTAGAGGTATGGTGGAACTCTCTCTTGAATCTTTTTATGGTAAAAACATAAAGCATGCAGTTTTCGACGATTTTTCATATTTAGCCACTTAACTACGGCGAAGACATGACTTATCCTTTGAAATTTCCTGATGCCAAAAATCAAACGCAAACAAAAATATTGCAATTTCTGTATTCTCCATGAATCAAATTCAGGGACACACGCATCGTAAAGAACGTCACAATAAGTTAATTTTGGTAAAACCAGAGCATTACATAATAACGACTTGGTGGCCCCAATCAATTGGATTTGATACAGTAATTTTAAAACGGCGTGTAAACAGCTGTTTGTAAAAAAATACTTACGTGATATGTAAACCTTAAATCTTCGTCGAACCAAACACCTAGGCACATGGAACCACAGATTACAAACGTCAAAGCTAATTGCTTAGCTAGAGACTAAATCTATTACAATCTCTAGCAAACCATAACTGAGGAGCTGATCAAGATATCCTAATTAAAGTATACAGATCTCTCATTCGCTCTCGACTGGATTATGGATGCTTTGTATACACGTCAGCATCAAAGACTTATTTAAGGACTCTTGACATTATTCAGAATACCGCATTACGAATATACCTCGGAGCTCCGAAAGTCTTCGCTGTGTAGCAGGTGAACTTCCTCTTTCGCTTCGCAGACAACAACTTCTTCTGACATACTTTGCTAGTGTCTTCGAATCAATACAACCCTATATACAATTTAATATCCAAACCATATAATTGTGAGCCTATTAATACATACGAAACATTACCTCAAATTTTACTTCCCCTTTCACTACCTGTTGATTTTTCGATAACAGATACTCATACTGTCATCAACTCCTTCTTGGATTAATAATATAGCAAAAATTAACCTTTCGTTTAATACTTGTCACAATATTGAAACCAACAGCCAAATTCTGAGGCAATCTTTCCTAAAGCTGATTAACACAAACTCATATGACGAGATTCTCTACACAGATGCATCTAAAACTGAGACAGGTGTCGGATATTCTGTAACAACTTCAAATAGTATTATTCAGAAGTTCTGCCTTCCACAATCCACCTTTATCCATACAGGAGAGCTGTACGACATCCTACAAGCATTAAAAGGCTTATGTAACCAAACAAAAGCCAGGAACACTGCAGTATGTACAGATTCGATGCCCTCTATCGACTCTATTAAAAATATATATTCCGAACATCCATTAGTTCATGCCATACATAAAGCAACAAACTGTCTCACTTCTTCTGGAACAAACATAACATTAATCTGGATTCCTTCACACGTTGGCATGCGACACGTTGGCATAGGTAATGAGACTGCTGCAAAAGAAGCGATTACAACCAAATCAGACATCAAATCTGTTCAACTAGCATCAGATCTAAAACTACTTTTCAGATCCCAAATTAAAAAGTCCTGGCAAAACCAATGGAAGAATTCAACCTCGAAATTACACAAAGTACAACCCGCCATCCAAAGCTTTCAGCTACCTAACTTAAGTAGAAGAGACAAATTAATCGTTGACAGGCTACGAATTGGTTACACACAGTTGACACATGGACCCCTGATGGCTTCAGAGAAATCACCTGTTTGTGAAAAGTGTAGTGAATCATTGACCGTTCAACATATTCTTACACAGTGTATCAAATACGAGCAAGAACAAAAAAAAAATACTCTATACAAGGTCTTACAAATGCTATCCTCAGCCAATTAGAACTTGTTCAGAATTTACTAGATTTCCTTCGAGAAACGAACTTGTATTACAAAATTTAGTGTATTCTTTTTTATTACTTTCTCTTTCACATATTCTCTTTATTATAAATTATACCTAATATAATATAAAATGTATAGTAACAAAATTGATCCAGTGTCAATAACCTTGTAGTTGAGAAAAAAATCTGCAGATGAATAAGGTCATGATTTATTGTATTTACTGCTTGATCACACTCATTCGGATAAAATGACATATAGAGTTGGATATTTTCTGCGCAATAATGCTGTGAACAGAACAAAACCATAAAGGGAAAATTAGATGTGTATATAGAAAATAAAATTGAACCTAATATAGATCCTTGAGGCACACCAGTATTAAGATCTAGAAATGAAGAAGTACTTAGATTAAGCTTTACTGCTTGACATCTAAGGATCTTAGAAAGACAGGATTTCATTCGATAACTTCAATTCGATAACGATAAATAGAGAATAACAAATTATGGTTAATTGTATCAAAGGCTTCTGAGTAGTCTAGAAGAATAATTAGAATTGATATTTTATTTTGGTAATAGGCTCTAAAAATGCCATCTGTAATATTTAATAAAGCAGAAAGACAGCTATATCTAGACCTAAAACCGGACTGCATCATAGGGATTATGTTATCTTTAAAATGGATTTGTAACTGAATATCGATCATCTTTTCCAAAATTTTAGATAATGTAGGCAGTAAACTTACTGATCTTAATTAATTCATGCTTTCTGTTATTTTAGTTTTCTATAAAGGATTAACATGTGTCCGTTTCCATTTAGTGGAAAAAATTGAATTTGTTAAGCAAAAGTTAACGATATGTGTAATATATGGTAGAAGAAATGGAATACACAGTTGCAGCGTGTTTATTTATCTCATTTGAATTTCACATGTGTTTTTTATTTCGAAGTTATTTTTGGTATTGAAATTATTTACCAAATATTTTACATTATTCCACATACCTTAAGAAGATTGAGCATGTATGTTTTTAAAATATGATTGTAATTTATATATATATATATATATATATATATATATATATATATATATATATATATATATATATATATATAAAACAAAAATTGTACCTAAGTTTAGTAAGGTCAGGTTTTAGATACCCTCTGCCGACCATAAATAGAATCTGATCCTTGTTGTTAATGTGAGAATAAGGCAACTGTCCCGCTAACTTCTCGAACATCACAATACCAAATGCGTAAACATCAGATTGGAAACTGTACGGATTATCTTCTTGCATCCTAATAACCTCCGGCGCCATCCATAGGATGGAACCGGTTGGTTGGCGGAATTGTTGAGAACCAGACCTAAAAAATAAGTATAAATTAATCTTACTACATATACGTGCTCTGTCGTCTTCCAGTTTAATCTTCCATGTGTAGGATGATTTTCTACTATATTTAAAAATTGTGGCTCACCCGAAATACCCACATCTTAAAGTTGTTGGTATTTCGGTTGGAATTTCCAACGTCCATGCTTCCAAGTCATACAGCATATACATAGCATTTCATCAGGCGGTTTTTGACCCTAAGTTTAAGACAAGCAATTGGACTTCGTAAGTTCTAGGTTTTCACTCAAATTGACCGAAGCAGTAAATCAATGTTAATACTTACCATCTAGTTTTAGCTGTAGCTAGACCAAAATCGCCAATTTTCACTGTTAAATCGTCATGTAAAAATATATTATTAGATTTAAGATCTCTATGGATGATATTCTTAGCATGAAGGTAATCCATTCCTTGTGCTATTTGCCTAGCTGTAATAGCAAACAACATTATTAATAAGACTAATAATCGTTAATGAATATAGTTTAAAAATACCAATTTTTTCGCACAGAACCGATGATTTTATCTAGTTATTTGAATACTAATGATAGACTATTTTCACTGTGCTGAAGTTATTTATTAAATAAAGGTTATATTCATGTTGATATTAAATATTACCATATGGTAATGCTAGTCCGATACGGTTAAAGTATTTTCCACCTAAGAAGACCGCTTTGCAATTAAATGCTGGTAACTTTATTACTAGATACTATATTTATATGAATAGCATATCACTGATCTGTTGTTTCAATCAGCACTGCTCAACAAGTTATCGTTTATTGGTTTTAATATTTAATTGCAATAGTACGAGTACAGAATATTTAATTAGACAGTGAATTTATTATATGTTAATTTTTTTTTTTTAATTTCTTCTGACGTATCGTATAATGTAGGTTTACCCAATAATCAAAGTTATGCTTTTACAAGAACATGTTATTTGAAAAATAAGGAGTACCATGTGTCATAATAATTGTAATCTCCTTTATACACACTTTAAAAATCTGTTTAGTAATCTATTTCTTAAATCCACACAATCATTGAAAAATGATTCATATATATATATATATATATATATATATATATATATATATATATATATAGCGAGGTTCCTACAGCCTCTGTCGTTTCTCGCATTTCGACCGCCATCGTTTTCTGTCCATCCATTCGTCTTCTCTGATGGCTCTATCTCTCATTATGTGCCGTACATTTTCTTCCCAGGCAACTGAAGGCCTTCCCCTTCTTCTTCTTTGTTGTGGTATGTAATTTAAAGCTTTCTTTGGCCATCTATCTTCATTCATTCGTTTCACGTGACCATACCACACTAGTTGTCTCGTTTCAATTCTATCTACACTGGAATATACAGTATTTGTCCTCCTTCTAATATCTTCATTCCTGATGTGATCTTTTTTGGATATACCACACGCTCTCCTTAGAAAATCCATTTCTACTACTTCTATTCTTTTTCTATCCTTCTGCGTTATCTGCCAAACCTCTGCCCCATAAGTCATAATAGGCTCTACCAAGGTTCGATAGATTGTCAATTTCGTTTCTTGTCTAATATCTTTAGACCAAAGTAGAGAGTTTAGAATGTTTACCACTTTTTTTCCCTGCTGTGTTCTGTTTTCGATGTCTCTTTTGGTAGTGCCTTCTTTAGACATTATAGATCCGAGATATTTATATTCATTGCATGTTTTTGTGTTTCTAATTTCTAACTCTGGATCTTCTTCACCATCTCCTATTTTAAGATATTCTGTCTTTGCCATATTCATATTGAGGCCCCATTTTTCATATTCTTTCTTTAGTTTTCTAAACATGTAGTCCATGTCTTCCTCGTCATTCGCTACGACTACCTGATCATCTGCGAAAAATAAAGCTGTTAGACATTCACCACCGCCTATGTCTATTCCCATTCCGGATACTTGTTTTCTCCACTGCTCTAGCGATGATTGAATATATATTTTAAACAGGGTCGGAGACAGACAACATCCTTGTTTAAGCCCCTTGGTTATTGGAAATGATTCAGATATAAAGTTTCCTTCTTTAACGACACTTCTTGCATTTTTGTATATATTTGCGATAGCATCCACATACTCTCTACTGAGACCTACTTTCGTCAATGTATAAAATAGTTTTTTCAAAGGTACCGTATCATATGCCTTCTCTAAATCTACAAACAATAGGTGGGTAGATAGATTCCTTGCCTTCTGTTTTTCGATTACCTGCTGCAGAACGAATATATTATCAATGCACGATCTTCCTGCCCGAAATCCATTTTGTTCCTCTATGTCTTCATATTCTGATTCAATTCGTTTTTTTATTATTCGACCGTACAACCTCCCAACTGAGCTAGTAACAGTTATTCCTCTATAATTAGAGCAATTGCGTTTATCCCCTTTTTTGTATATTGAGCTGATGTATCCAACATTCCAATCATCAATGATATTTTGTCCTTTTAAGCATTTATTAAATAGTTTAACCATCATCTCGTGTAATATTTTTGGTCCATACTTTACCAACTCAATTGGGATGTCTCCAGGTCCTGCTGATTCTGCTTGTCCTGCTGAAAAATGATTCATGCTATTTAAAAATCTCTTTCTGCAACGACACTGTTATCGACAAAGTAGATCAAATTCAAACTTGTCATCATAATACACTTCTGTTTATCGTTAAAAATTAATTGATGGTCGTGGGATGTATTGGTGTTATTTAATAATTAAACAAAATACATAATCAGCAAAAATCTTATTTAAAACATGCGAAGGTTTTTGCAATCACAAACAATGCAGTGTTTATGCTTGTTTAGCTTTGGCTGTTGAATAATTTGTGTTCGATTGTTTCGTCTGTTGTACAACCCTTGTCCTTTTTAAGGAGTAGTAGTTGTATATAAGTACCTTTTTTTATAGTAGTGTAGTGAAGCGGTAAGTAATTTAGTATCAATTTGTTTCAAGGTTATATTTAATACAGTGTTTGCAGAAAGTAAAGTTTTCGATGTATTTTATACATCCAAACTTGGATGTAACTTGGCAAGTGTTTTCCAATTTTACTGCATGCAAAACCATTCGTATAATTTTCACTCTACGTAAAATAGAGACTTATAGAGACGTTGATGAACATTTGATGTTGACAAAAAATTTCGAATATTCGAAATATTCCGTCCCACTTCTTTTAACACGCTATGTATATACATATTATATTCATTTTCTTTGCCTTTGGTACAGTAAAATCTAATATTATTGGACAGGAAATTAAATATTTTTACTTTCCAAGCGATCGAAATTAAATATTAACGACCCACTGTTTGAGGCCCACTGATCATATCTTAATTGCATATCGGCCGTCATAGGGTAAAAGGACTTAAGTTGATAATTTTTTTTATTGTAGTATGACGTTCGAAGAAGCTTTGAAAATCGTTTGCACTCTGCACGGCCTGTGTTATCAAGGATAACACAGGCCGTGCAGAGAAACAGGACCAAATTCTTCGAAGAACTTGATTTCTAGTCCTTCATAATTTTGTGTGACTGATTTATTTTGCGTTGCTGTATTGATAGTACCACTGTTTATGTTATCCCATCTTTCTCTGACTGTTGGTACATTGTATTTTTGGGTGATGTTGTCTAGTATTTTGTTGTTCATTGTCTGTCCAAAGCGGTGTTTAAACCCATTTTGTTTTAATTTTTGTCTATAATATTTCTTTTTATCGAGGGAGCTTTTTAATTGTTTTTAGTTTTAGGATAATTCTGAATGCAATCTATTATTTATCATGACAATCTATTTGATTACGTATTAGACTACCAATATCCCAATATATTTAAAGTAAGTTTACGCATTCCTCGTTGTTTAATTCTAAACGAGCCATTTCTATCATTTTGTAAAAATGTCAACAATCACAAAAGATACAACACTGTATGAAGATATCATAATCTCGTATCTTTAACATTAAAGCACAATGGACCGCAGGAGTGTGACGTCACGACTGTCACATTGACATTATTACTTTCCAAACAAAAGTTGAAATGTCAAGACTTTTTAATTTCTACAAAGTTAACATTTTGCTTCCTCTGCTGCTTTTTCTTGTAAGCATAGTGTTTTTTACGATAATACCATTATAATTCAGAGTTCTATTTCTATGAAATATAGTTTAAAAGTTTAAATAAAGAAATTGTAACCTTACTTTATTGATACATGCATTTTATTGCTATTAACATAAAACAATGTGCTTTATTATTTACACAACCTTGTAAAATTGTTGTAGTAACTATTAGAATACTTAAATATTGCAATAAGCGGAAAGATTCTATAAAATAAATGAAAAAATAACGAAAAATACAAATTATCCACACTAAACCAGGTTTGTTTGGAAAGTGAAACTGACGTATGTCAATAAAATCTACGTCAACACTCCTGTGGTCAATTATTTCCAAAAGTATTAATTTTAGGTATAAAGAACCGATACACTATTTGAAAGATAATTAACTTCGTTTTCATTAAAATTATAAGAGGTAAGGTGTTTCATTTAAAATGATTGATTTCTGTAGTTTCAAGAAATGGCGCATGATTTATGAACATCCTATACTTAGAAATTCGATTTTGATGTAAATTCCTGAAAGGATGTTATTCTCCATTCGCTTAGCTATAGGGCATATTTTGACAGACTCAATGTCGGAAACCTATAACACAACAATTCCTACTTCTCAGTATTAATAGCTCAAGTATACTACTATACTTCTTTCTTTGAAAAAAAAAAAAAGAATTATTCTAAATAGTGGAAGTGTATACTAAACCCATCAAATTTTCCCTGTATATTTAAAATATACTATTTGAGTTACTACAATTTAATATTATATTGTAGTAAATATTGTTGTTAGTTCTATTTAGTTTATTTAGTTATAGTTCTATTTTGAATTTTATTATTAGGGATAGTCAAAGTTTTCCATTTGTTCTATCAGATATACTCGGTTTGCTATTGCCAGTCCGAACTGTCTAGTGAATTTAGTAATTATTTTTTTGTGAAGTTAGTTACTTTTTGACATACTAAAAGTGGCTGGAAATTACTATACAACCAAGCACACGTACTCATAGCCAATATTCATAGTAAACAAACTAAATAGTAAATAAAATTGAACTTTATGAATTACCG